ATTTGTGTTATGAGTATTTGTTTGTTTTATAGTTTGAGTAACAAGCAAAGTTGCATATTGTTGCTCCCTTGAGGGTCTACAAGAATAGTAAAACAGTTTGTAGAAGGGGGGGGGATGAATACAAACACAATATTTTCAAGTTTAAAATATATTGACAAAGAAGATCAATACAGATTTTACAAGATTGTTTGCGGAAAAATAAAGTGATAAAAACTTATCTAAACAATCTTTAGTTACACACTAAGTCTTAGCAAATACAAGAAAAGAATTGTTGAAGAGAAGATCCTTTACTTAAGCTAGAAAGTGCTTGAAGTAAGAATTAGGATTAGAGAGTGAGTTGCGTGCACTCTGCATGGAGAAGAAACACTTCTATTTATACCCAGTGCATTAAATATACATTTAATGCAATATGGTAGGGTTAGAGTGCGTGTCAAACCTTAAGAGGAAGACTTGTTCTTTGCTACAATGAATAGTACAAAAAGCACTATTCATGAGCAGACATCCTTACCTAAAGTTGGTGGACAATAGAGTCAACTAGTCGGCTCCGTACCGTACCAACTTTCATAAGGGTATGGGTTTTGTTCTTTGTGTGTATAAGGACAAGACAATAAAAATCATGCTAAGCAAGCTTCCTTTGATCGCTGAATGCTGGAATGACCTGAAGGTCTCTTCATCATTCGCTGAAGCTTGAGCAGTCTTCACACATATGTAGACGGGCTTGTAATCACTGAGTACCGCTTCAGATCATGTACTCGCTAGTCTCTAATCTTCAGTTTCAGTCTTTGACGTTTGCTGAAGGTTCTTTGGTGTGAGTGTTGTCTTCTTGAAGTATTCCTGTCTCTGATAGACTTACAATGTAAGTTCTTCAGCGATCACTGAACATACTCAGTGAAGGTCGCTGGAACTGAAAAGACAGAAACATAAATACAACGTATAAGTGAAAAGGGATTATCATCAAATCACTGAGAGAGAGGATCAACAATCTCTCCCTATTTGATGATAACAAGATGACATAAAGAAGGTTATTTTATGATAGTAGGAAAAAGTGACATATGAAGTACATGTCCCTTTTTACTATTTTGGGATCTTTTTTAGTTAGCCAATCTCAGCTTGAATATTTTCCTTAAGTTATATCTAAGAAAAATTACAAGTATGGAAACTGAAACTGAAAGCTTATTCACTAACTTATAGATCGTCAGTGAATGCGAAAAGTAACACTGAAACTCATAGACTTGTGTCCCTATTACTTTTTCAGGGATCTTTTTCAGTGAAGTACATGGAATACTCATTTTAATAATCATAGGAAATATTACAAGTATTACAGTATATGTCTAGTGCTTACAGATTATAAGTACAATCACTGAAAGTAGACATAGTACAAGAAGTTACAAGGAAAAATGGATTGTTGTTACAAAGAGAAACTATTCTAGAACTCTTAGATCTATGTAACCAGTACATTTTCACCAAGTTTTCTTCGACGTAGGAATTCCCTTCGTATCTTCAGATCTACGACATTGACAGGCATGCTATCATTTATCCAGAGTGAAAGATAAACCAGATGATCCATTGGACATAGATGTAGCTCTAACATTCTCTGAAATCTGATTTCACCTTCAAGGTCAAGGAATATAACTCCTAAATCAGGTTTAAAATGCACAGAGTTGGGTGTATAGGGACCCTTATCTAGCAAGTCAAGATTCAGCATATTTAGAATCCGACATCGAGCAAGTTCTTGGCATATTTAGAATCTGACATCGAAAAGCTCTGAGCGGTGATAAAGTTCTTGGCATTCATCATCAGACCAAAGATTACCGCATTGAATACAGACATCTTTTGAAAGCCAAGTGCCTACCAATAAGTGAAGTGCGTACCAAGCATCGGATTGTAACGATTAAACAAATTGGTGCTCAAAAGCTTTTAAGAATCTGGTATCCTGTATTTACAGTTACTAGGCAGGATGGTCAGATTTAGAGGTTCAGCCAAGCAGATTTTTCAAACTTATATTTGGATGATCTTGAATATATGTACTTTGAACTCGGAAACATGACGATCAGAAAGGAAGGAGAACTGATTGCTCTTGAGGCTATCAAGAGATTTATGTGTTGTCATGTGAAGCTGGCAATGGTCATTGATGTTCAAATGGGCCTTGAAGACAATCAACGGATCATCAATCTGAAAAGACCAAATCAAGAATTAGAAGATATTGATGCTTATCATGTCTATATGATTCTTCAAAAGCCAGAGTTCGGGGTCATCTACTTTGCTCAACTTCAAGTAAAGAAATTCAAGAGGTTTAGTGAGCTGAACAAATATTCTGATTATAATATCTATGCTTCGTTAGCTCGTACAAATTGAGATAAGTAAATTTTTGGTAGAATTGGGCATAACATATTTATACCCTATGTTTAACCAACTTGTACCTATACTAGTTATGTGTCAAAAGTTAAGTTTATATCTATATTGACTGACATAAAGTTGAGAATCTAACTTAAAGGGTTAAAAACCGTCAAATAGTTAAACTTTATATATATATATATATATATATATAATTAATTAAAAAAATATATATATATATATATATATATATATACATGAATGGATGAGGTGGTTTACAAACCGTCTCAATCTCTCATCTCTTTTCTCTTTCTAAAAAAAATCTCTCGTTTTCTCTTTGAATTTTACGTCAAGTTAGTACGAGGATCGAAGTAACAATTATATATTCGGAATCCACACAACGAATCCTTCTTAAAGGTATAAATTTCATTCAATTTTATTAAGGTGTTTATGTTAGGGTTATTTAGACGGGTTTATAAACTGTGTTTATATCTAAGTTTACAGATTGTTATTGTCAAAATTATGATATATTTGATATTTAGGATGCTAGTACTGGTTATATTGATGTAGAAAAAGGGTATATTATAGTTTCAATATGGTTAGATTATGGGTAAATGTTTAATCGTACACCAATTGTTCGGTTAAATGTCGGAAGGAGTAAAAATGCATGATTAAGCTTAGGTTAACGACCATTGGACTTGTTTTACTGTTTAGTATGTTGAAGTACGTTTATAGCATGTAAATATAGCAAATCAAGAAAGTTGGATCATAAAAGTTAATCGGGAATTACGGAATCAAATTTTACCGAAAATGTAACTCTCGTACTTCGATAGTGTATAACTCACAAACCGTAAGTCAGAATAAGCTTGTATTTTGTAGACAGAAAGATCTTACTGCATACTACAACTTTCATGAAGGGTCGACAATCCAGTTATGAATCTAGGTGGCTCGAAACAGTGTGTTTTTGGGGCTGTTTACACTTTATTCGGGATTAAATTGCAGTTTTGTAAAATTCATTTAAAATAGATGGATGATCCAAATGAGATGATTTCAAAAGCAATAGACTCGTATGTTACCAATCTACAACTTTCATTTAGAAAATATAATCTAGATTGGTTTCTAAGTAAGGTAAAAATGCTTAGAAATAAGAGGGACAGAAGCGGTTGGATCGAAAGAGAATAAGGTTAAGTTTTACGTTTGAGTTTTCAATTCGTATCCAGCTGTTCTTCTTGAAGTCTACGTTTTTTTTAAGTAGATTAAGACCTAAGTAAATTTATTAGAATAGTTATATTATGGTTTCTATGCTTTATAAATAGTAACCCGTTTATACATTCGTTAGACATGCGGGCAAATTAAACTTGATCGTGAATTTCCGTTTAATCGTGCGTTAATTGTCAAATTCAGTTAAGGTACGGATTTCATATCTCACTTGACACGGGGATAGCCATTTGCGTAAGGCTTCCTAATCCAGATAATCTGTGATAAATTTCGAATAATTTGTTTTGAATTTCCTTAATGCTTATCAAATGTTATTGAACTTTGTTTCCTTTTGAACTACGACTTACATTCTTATTCGGAATATGGATCATTTTGATCACTTGACTTGTTTTATTGCTTCATTTGTGAAACATTTTACTATAGACTCAATAACTGGAGCACTGGTATTGAGATGTTTCCATGGTGACTAAAACGATCATGGCGTCCTTATTTTTATAGTCCTTAAAAGTGGACTTGATTATGTACCGGTCGAATAGAGTGCGTATGGATCGATCCTAGGAACCGTTATCGAATATTGAATTGTGGCCATGGTTAAATTCACGAAGAGGATTGTTGTTTTGTGCTCACACCTCTTTCCTCACTTGTGCCTGAATGGACTGATCATCCATTGGGAACAATGCGTCCTCGTGATGCGGTTTGGTCTTCGGATCCTTGACATGCTTTTGGGGAATTTTGACTTTCTTTTGGATTATCACTTGGCTTTATAAATTGCTTTTGAACTTGTTATCTCATATTCTTTGTTTAATTATTATTATCCGTTCACTGAGCATTAAGCTCAGCCGAGATTTTCTTGTMCTHRGCARGTACATGACTTAGCAGGGATTTTGGGATGAGAGCTACGGAGATGACAATATTGAAGATAACTCATTAAGTCATACTTTTGTTAAATTTTTGATGACTATGTAGACATACTGGTATTTTGGGACCGTATTTTGAGACACGTTATCTCCATCTATGGTTATGTAGTTATTTTTTGATAAATTTTATTAGCTGCTCTGTTTTATATAGCACGTTGTTTTTATCCCAATTGTGGCATCTCCCGTCTTTGACCACGCGGGACGGGGGTGTTAGAAGTTGTGGTATCAGAGCTATAGGTTATGATCCTGTAGTACAATTTAGGTTTGATCTGTGAGGAATGGGTAGAACTAAGATAGGATTATCTTAGACTCTATACTTTCCTAAGGTGATAGTGGTACGAAAGGAAACAGAGATGTGTTTCAAGGAATACTACCTGGCAAAGAACCAATCGGGTAGGTCTGTGGAAACAACCCAATTATAGACCTCCAATTGCATTTCAAGGAACTTCTAGTAAAGGTTTTTCGAATACGAATTCTCTGTTATGGTGCAAAAATTGTGGTTTTAGACATCGTCCTGGCCCATGTATTCGAATGACCGACGCCTGTTATAATTGTGGTCAACGAGGTCATATAGCTCGTGATTGTAAACAAGGGTCGAAAGATAATTCTAAAGATAAAGAGAAGCAATCTACTGCYGGTGGTCGAGTGTTTACACTATCTGCTGACAAATCTACTTCGGGTATGGTTTCTAGTACCATTTCTATTGATGGTAGAGATGCATATGTTTTATTTGATACAGGTGCTACACACTCGATTGTTTCTGAAAACTTCGAAGAAAATCTTAAATCATATGAACAATCCACTGAATTTCCATTACATATTACTACTCCCATGGGTAGTTCAGTATGTATAGTTGGGCAATTCCCAAACTGTCCGTTATTTCTTGGCGATCGAATTCAGGAAGTTACCTTACTTCCAATGAAAATGGATCACTTTGATATCATCCTTGGCATGGATTGGTTGTCTAAACATCGAGTGACCATCGACTGCAAAGCCAAACAAATCATCTTCGGTGACGTCAATAAACCCGAATACGTGTTCCAGGGTGTTTCACATGAGAAGGGAACTCGTGTATCTCAGAAGTAAATGTTAAACCAATGGTATGGCAAGGATGTGAAAGATTTTTAGCTTCACTACAAGATCCCGAAGAGGTATGCCTTAAAATTGAAGATATTTCTGTTATTAATCAATTTCAATACGTCTTTCCAGATGAACTTCCAGGAGTTCCTTCGGAAAGGGAAATTCATTTTACAATTGATCTTGTTCCAGGAGCTACACCTATCTCAAAGGCTCCGTATCGTCTGGCTCCGACCGAAATGAAAGAACTTAAAGAACAACTTGAAGATCTTTCTAATCGGGGTTTCATTCGACCCAGTGTATCTCCGTGGGGTGCACCGGTCCTATTCGTTAAAAAGAAAGATGGATCAATGCGATTGTGTATTGACTATCGGGAACTAAATCGGGTAGGTACGTAATAAATACCCTTTACCCCGTATTGACGATCTTTTTGATCAACTCCAAGGAGCAAAGTATTTTTCTAAGATCGATTTAAGGTCTGAATATCACCAATTCCGGATCAGAGATCAAGATATTCCTAAGACTGCATTCCGTACTCGATATGGTCATTACGAATTCATTGTTATGCCATTCGGGTTAACTAATGCTCCAGCAGTTTTTATGGATCTTATGAATCAAGCTTTCAAAGATTATTTGGACGACTTTGTTATCATTTTTATTTGACGATATTTGTTAGCTCTCATTCCTTTAATGTAAAAGTATAGAAAAAGTAAAACAGCAAGTATTGACAGAAGTTGATCTGTTACAGAAGACCTCAGAGGACAATCATCAGAAGAAGCTCTTTTGTACAAGGTTAAAGTGACAGAACCTCTGTGTTCATCCACAGAGGTTCTGGAAACTTGTCCTCTGCCGAG